ATCATTTCTCCTCTTGCCACTTTTAAGATTAAACGTTTTCTTGCCTGTTAATCAATGCATGAGTTGTGTTTATGAATCACACACCTTAAATATCAATCTGACAACTTTGAGCATTCCATTTGTTTGGCCCTCTTGCATGATCGGATCTTCAGGTGCTTAAAGAATGTCATGAACTTGAATGTTCACTTCACATGGAGATGAAAAGTAGCAACGTGTTGTTTGGTGCACTAGACATACAGACATTTGATTCTGCACAGGATCTGTTCCTCATCAATTTCCACATGAAATGGAAAGCTTTAGTTTGCCTTTATTATACTAACAAGAAATTAGCCAATATTTATTCTGCTGTGAACCCTCTGTGTGCTTGATGCAAAAATCAAATAGAGAGTCCTGTCCACCCTTTTTGGACGTGTCCACTAATTTAATAAGTACTGGAGAGATATAAATAAGAGAGAAGTTTTGTTGACAAATATAGTGGAGCAGCAATACATGTACTGATAATACAATATATACATCCACAGTATTTAACATGTACAGTTTGCATCAGCCAATCTGGTGAATAATCCATGTGGATTTTAAATGGGTCTAAATGTATTATCTCTTACGCAGAAATCTATAACCAAAACTATAATTTCAATGTTTCGATCCTTACCATGAGAACAATGAACATGGAAGAGAGTAAGATCTATCGCCAGCAGAGATCATGCACTGGACCCGAGTGATGCAGCTCATATTGCATAACGTATTCAGAGAGGATAATGGGGATAATAAAATGTACATGAGCTGTTAATGTGGCGACAGAGACTTATTTACAGTCGCAATCAGCTCAAATGAAAGCACCGAGAATCCCGACGCATTAAACGAATCCTCTACTGCGATGCGCCCAAAACAATTTCTCACATGAGTGGCCACACTTGCTTGTTCTGCAATCTGATTATGTCGACTCTCGGTCAGAGGAGAGACAAGAGCCCGCCTCTGTCTTCTTGCCATATTCTCTCTCTCTCTCTCTCTTGTTTTTTAAGCAATCCATTCACTTTCAGCTATAATGTAACAGTCATCTGTAAGGATGATTGTAAAATCTCGACATGCATGTTTATGGCATCCATTATCTGTGAAAATATTGCCACTGCCATCAGCGCTATCTAAACATGCATATAAACACCTTAAAATGGTGGTAATGGAGTAATTCAAATATGTGTCCATTTAAAGATTGAATATTTACACAGGGTCCAACACATACTGCCTAAAGAAAGAGATTCAGACTTCAACTTTACAAGTGGAACTAACAAATGTGACCAAAATCTTAAATTAGCCTTTGAACTGGTGATGAAATTATGCATATAAGGATGATGACAGCATGAATCATACCCCTATGGCTTTAATACGACTGTGGAGAGTCAATTCTGAAAACGACAAAGAGCAAAATTAGAGATGTGACTGATTCTTTTATAAAATAGGAAGGAAATAATTGCTCATCAAAGGCCTATGATTAAAATATAATTGCTAAATTTGGAATTCAGATCCAATCCAACCCAATTTTTGACACATGGACATATTTATTTAAATTCTCGTTTTCCCAGGAAGCTTTTTATCTTCTTTTTCTGCTTCACACACAGTACGTTTTCAAATCTGAGAGCTTCTCAGATAAAATGATCAACATGTGACATGTGAAGACCATTTGAAAAATGTGAACTCGTCCCTGACTTCACCACACCACTTTTTTCTTTACACGGTGTTTAATGCATGGTAACCCTTTCTATTAGTCACACTAAGTAGCAGGTAATTGCAAGTTAAACACGGAATAAAGATATGTAATTTACCAAATAATTAAAGCCATTACACTAGGCAGGAAAACACTTAGCACATGGTGATTTAGTTAAAACACTAATTGTGACTCATCAGTTCAAGTAATTGCACTGCAGGATTAGTGTAAAAATATAAATCTCATGCTTTCCAGGTTTTTTTTATACTACAGCATTTTGTGCAGATAACATCTTTTGATTATTCAGGAAATTGTTCAACCTATTTTTCCAACTTGGTAAAATTTTTTAGGCAGTGCACAGACGTCGATTCACACGATTTTGATTGGGTTCATTTCAGTATAATGTTGGAAGTGAAGTAACTCTTGTTTTGTCTGTGTGTTATAAAGGATTTGCATGATTAATATTTAAGTCTGTTTCATCTCTTTGAATTGTGTTGGAATTCGAGGTCCCAAGGTTTATCGTCTGGAGTTTATTTTCGGGTTATTCTCAGGTGTCTGAAAACCTCATTATTGTGACGTTTTACAAAAGCCCACACAAACACACGTATAAACAATACAAAGAAACACTACAAAAGCAGAGTGTTATTTCAGACTGATGCAACTCACATCAAACATCATGTTTACTTTTCAACGCCGAGGTGCTCGGCTCCAGACCAGTGACAGGCAGCCTAACAACTACTAAACAACTCCCACTCACACACACTCAGCCTCTATCACTCGACATTACACACCCACACTGTGCTCCACAAGCTCCAACTAGAGTCTATTCTGGTGATCATAATTATTTGATGACAGAGCTTCTGGTTTCTCAACCAATCCTTTTGTACATACGATCTAGCTGTGAATAATTCAGCACGGGGAGCTGGAAAGGTGGGTCCCTCGAAACAGCAGGTACAGTCAAACCCAGGAGGCAGGACACACGAGGAGAAAGCTGCATCGTCTGCCCCACGCCTCACAAACAGTCAGGAGAACTATATCAATCCGTCCATCTTTAGGTCGTTTCATCACGTTAGGCACCACGGTGTCCACCTGATCTTAGTCCGACTAATGTAAGGCACTTCTTGGATGGACTGACGCTCTCTGGATCTGTCCACTTCTCAGTCAGCCACTATGGAGGAACTCCAGAGAAAATTGAACCAGCGCTATGAAGGCACCAAGCCCAGAAAGGTGAGTTATTTATGGGACAACTCTCAATTCTGTTGGTTTTGAAGTACTTTGAGTGGAAGACATATTGAGGTCATTTTCAGATACTGAGCGTTGTGCAGAGATATTTTTATACATTTGTTCCATTATCAGTAGCAGATAAGCTTTGAGGGAATGAAACAGGGTTTCAGCTTGCATGTTGACTTGCTGCTAATGTGTGTGTGCTTCCCTCTGATCAAACAAGACTCTTTTTCTACTCAATTGCATAACGTGCAAGCAAAGAAATTGAAGATTTTTGAGTCCGACGGTAGGTAACCTGTCAGTGCATCTTTCCATCTCAAACCACAGGTGAGATTCAAGCTGGCGTCGTCCTACAGCGGTCGGGTGCTGAAGCATGTGTATGAGGATGGACAAGAGCTGGACAGTCCAGAGGAGAAATACCCACACAGCTTCGTCCACAGGAAGATCCCACCCAGCCACCTGGAGATGGAGCAGCTCTGTGGGTTTGAGGACGCTCAGGGGGACCAGCACGGTGGGTTTTTATCACGGTGTGATGCACTGCACTGTACTGTGTGCAACTTTACGTGCATGAGGTTTGTTTGTCTGTTTAAGCAGTAAGCTGTTACCAGGAAGAGACCAAGATGTGTATATTCGATTTGAACCAGTACTCCAGCATATACCGTGGAGTGATTTGCATGAAACAATTTTGCCATGTTTGCCTTAACATGTTTATTGCTTTCCTTGGATTGAAATATCTGTGCATCTTGTGGTTGCACATGGGTTTTTTGTGTTTTTGCGAGCACACTCACAGTGCTTCATCTTTTAATACCATATGTGTCAGCAATCTGGTGGTTACCAATACAAGGCTACAGCAGCAGTTATAATATTTCCAGTATTTATTCTGCTGCAGTGGGGTTAGAATTCGGGTAAAGGAACCAGTTGAGTTTATTACTTTGTCCCTAAATCAATCATTTGTGCTGCAGAAAGCATGACAACACAAAAAATCTGAGAAGCATACAACATTTCCATCGAAGAGTAAGTACTCACCATAACCGGGACCTTGTCATACAACAGATTTCGAAAAGGTTTTTTTTCATGCTTCTACCTTAATGTACTACTTAAAACACAAGTGGAATTGGAGGACTGTGCAGTGGAAATAGTTTGATGTTTTGGGTGAAAGTAAATCTGAAACTAATTCTGTTAAATGCTTAGCTTAGAGGTAGTCAGGCTCTGCCAAAACTAAATATCCATGCTACATCTAGTTCATCTACCCACAAAAGAAATGGGAAAATGACAGTTATCCATTTCATAACTCTGTTGTTGAACTACTTATTGGCCGGAAGCTGTAACTGTTTCCTCGCAAAAGGATCCCTGCAATTAAATTTGTTGTTCGGTCTATCAAAATGTATTTTATTATATACATTGGCAAACTTGCTAACTAATGATTGGTCCAAAACAAAAAAGCACATCTGTGTGTTGTATACGTGCTTGAGTCTCAAAGTTCTCAATCTGTCCTGACATGTTTCATTGTGTACCAGGCGACTATCCTCCAACAGGGCTCATTGCCCAGAGAATAAATGTGTACCGAGGAGTGGGAGGCTACAAGCCGACTGTTGGCCTGATGGAGGAAGCGGGGGGAGATGCAAAAGTAAGTAAAGCTTCTTAGCTCAAGTCTTGAATTTTGGTATCAAGGTGAGAGTCGGATTAGATTTCCCATTTGCAGTGTCAGTTTTGTCTGCCCTAATGTCAAACGTCTCTCTTAATTGTCTGGATCCAATCTCCGGTGCACTTTAAATGACCTAGAATGAAAAATAATGAGATTTTTTAGAGTTTTAATTAAGGTGTCCAGGGTGGCAATGGTTTACTTTACAATGATCTTTAAGACAGCATTAGCATCTCAATGGTACTTGGGGAGCACAGAGAGGAGTCACGGTTATCGTTTGGGGATAAAAGAGAGCAGCTAACCTTTCCCATGGATTTCTTATCTTTTAAAAAGAGAAAAGCTCTTCATTTTGGACTCCTGTGGTCGATATGTGATGCCTGCGCCTTGTCTGTGAACATCCCGTCAGCTGCAGATCCTCATCAACTCATAGATTTGGATCTGTTTTACAAAAGGCTGATGTGCAAGAAATAAACATGCGTACAGTTTGAGCACAAACAGACAGATAATTCAGAGTCACACTTTACTTCTATGTGAAACCCTTCGAATGATATATTACATGATAACTATATAGTATCTCTTTGCATACTTGCATTGTGGGAAGTAAAATAAGAAAGAGTGACAGCTCTTTATACTTGACAGAACAACATATGCTGAAAATTCAAAGAAACACAGCACGTATACTATCATCAGCAAACACAAAGACATATAATGATGAATCATACGTAGTTAGATCAGAACAGGGCTTAAACAGACAATGACAATCCTTGGCTAATTATTTTAGAATATAGGACAAGATGGTCCTTTGTACATTCACCATCTTGTCCTGTATGACAGCAAGCAGCACCAATTCTACATTTAAAGTGGAACAACTACAGCGGCAAACTTATTCATCCGAAAGGAAGAAGCCTGCTTTTACTGAGCTGTTGAGGCAGCGACTTCTTAATGACAGGATAAGAGGGAGGTCAGGTACATTGGCTGCTGGCCTGGTGTCAGTTTCGCAACGGAGGTCACATTTATCAGCGGAAGACAGCGATCTGGATGTAGTTTATGCTTGTAGGGCATTATTTAAAAGATGGTGCAGTGGTCTGAGAGGTGCAGTCTGTACTGTACATGGTCTAATGAGTTTTCTGTCTGTTTTATGATAAGAGATTAAAAAGAGAAAAAACAGCTCTTTATCAGGTTTTTGATTTGGATTTTATGTTTGAAATTAACTCATCATCCTGTAAAACAAATGTATGATTTGTGACCACAAAGCATTGGATTTAGTTCAAGAAGCATCAACTGATAATGAATATTTAATGATAACCTTTACTGATATTGTATAATAATATTCTCTTGTAATTTGATATTCAAGGCTTTCTATTATATTCTTGTGAAAAAAGTTACCATTAAAATGCATTTTTCATCATTTAGTTTTTCCAATATCAAACATGTTTTCTCCCACTCGATAACCATACATGAGGAAATGTGTGTGTTTTCAAATTTCTCCACCATCCCCTCTCACCCATACATACAGATTTGCAAGAATTCATTTTCATATGCGCCACATAAATATAAACTTTTAATATAAAATGATCTCTGACATTTTCCATTTCCTTCAGTCCCAAGTGTTGGACTTTGGGAAGATCATCATCTACACCAGCAATCTGCGCATCATCAGAGCGCCACCGAGGACCCCTGATGCACTGCGACAGCAGATAGAACCCTGTGTGGACATGGAGGGAAACCCAAAGGCCAGGGAGAGGGCGAGCAGGAGGAGGGCCAAAGCTCCTCGTGGAGGGGACGGGGAGGAAATGGAGGAGAGACAGATCAGCCACACAGAGACCAAGGTAATGGTCCTTAGCCAAATTATTCTCAGCCGTGTGGTAAGGCTTTTATCACCCCACTCTCTTTCTTTGCGTATCCACTTTATCTTTGAGAGAATAAGAGCTGCATCGTCTGTGCAGCTGTATTCGTAATTCAAATCTGTTCACACTCATCCCACAATCTCCTCCGTGTTTCCTTGAAACTGCCACCTTATTTGTACTCCCATTATTTCCTTCTCCTTGCAGCCCCCTCCAGCCGCAGCAACCATTGTCCTAGTGTTATCTATCAACTGTGAACAGATACTGATGAGTCCACAGTTTTACTCTGCCCTTGCAGCATTTGCCTGCCACTTACCAGCCCACAAGGATCCCCTCCCTCGTTCCTCCTTGGATGATTACTGCTCTCCCCCTCGTCTTTACTCCCCTCCATCCTTCTCTCACCTTTTCTTGTTATTTTCTCATTTTCTCTGCCACAAGGAAAAAAAAGTTAATCCTCAGCTTTTTGTCCATCACTTGGCAATCTTTCTCTCTTTTTCTCCTTGTTAGTACGTTTTTTCATTGTCTCTATTTGTTATAACAGATTTAGATTTGTATACAAATTTAACTATCAACACCTGGCCATCAACTTAAACTACTGTAGGTTTAGATGCACTGGAACTGCAAAGCCGCTTTCAGACATGCATCAAACTCTGGATATTTTCAGGAGGAGTTGTATATGAAAAGGCAAATGTCAGAGTCAGTTGGTCCAGATATTTTCCGAATACTTTTCCTGCTAGCTCTGGAGGCCATGTGAGAATACGAGCAGGGAAATTTGCGGAGAAGTCACAGCGCAGTATTTGGCTGGTCAATGCAAACAAAAAGAATACAAAAATCTCAGGATGGAAAAGAGGAGCCATACACGATGAAGAGGGCTGACCCGGTGTTGATGTGCTGTCAACAAAAACATGTGATCTTTGCAGTGGAATTTAAACCTAATGTCCAGACTCCTGCGTGGCATCCCTCGCCTGAATAATTCAGATTTATCCTGTTGCATCTGATCTGGAAAAGCTCCTGCTTCTTTGTCCTGTGCTTCACTTAGTCTGTTTTAATTAATTAATAACAACTCTTCAATTCTGTAAAATAGTTCTTACATAAGATTATCACAGCCTCTTCTCCTGTAACACTATCACATGCATCGCTAAGCTGTCCATCTCTGTCCTCTACTTTCAGGAAGTTACTCAGAAAAATCCACAGACCTCACTGCACAAAGTGACACTGGGATTGACTTTACACTGAGTTGTTTTCAATGCAGTTTGTAGAGATTTAAACATGACCTGGTTGCACATCTTCTGCTGTGTGGTCGATAACTCACAGGCAGCTGCTCATTATTGTAAATTTTAGCAGTAATGATTAGCTGGCTGTAGAAATGACCAGCTGGTTGTACAGTATCCTGGAACATAGCTACTTACCACAGCCGTTTAAGAAGAAATAGTATTTAAGGAAAAAGCTTTTGGTGGATAAGGTTGTTTAGTATTTTGCAGCAGAAGTATTTATATTAGATACAGTAGCTGTGTTAACATCGGTTATTTATGAACTGGTTTAAGATTCTCAGTGTAGAAATGGTTGCAATGAAAAAAACTATATACTTAAATATAAAACTGTGGTTTATTATAAAAACACAGAAGTCAAAAAGTCAACATCTGTGACTCAACTTTTAAAAGCCAATGAGAATCGAGTATTCAGCTGTGTGACAGTGACATTTCAGTCATGCAGCATCTGTGTAAATTTGGGTGACACAAAACTTTACGCCCAACTTTGAGTTTCAGCTCAATCTCAATCCTTACATCCCTCACCCATCCCCACATCTGGCTCCCTACCCTAACCTCATAGTCCCCCCGCCCCCCACCCCTCCTTTTCCTCTAACGCTTTTCTTTTTTCTCCAGGAGGCTGACAGCTGCCAGCATTGTGGCGGCTCGGGCTGCGCTCCCTGCTCCCTGTGTCATGGCAGCAAGCTGTCTATGCTGGCAAACCGCTTCAATGAGTCCATCAGTGATCTGCGTTGCCAAGCCTGCTACCCCCATGGTCTGGAGAGGTGCCAGTCCTGTTCCGGCAAATAGCACCGTTTGGCTGACACCCACATGTGTGAGAGAGTGAGTGAATGAGTGAGTGAAATATTTGCTCTAATCCAAAATGTTCTTGGTGGGGTGTTTTCGATGCACTACTAGGAAACATAAGCCATCACTGGAAAAAATGGGGAATTGTGCATTGGGCACAAAATCATAAATTACAATTACTGTCCGCAGTGAAAAACGGCTTGGGATAATACAAACACATAATCACTCTTTTGTTGTCACATTATTTTGCATCTGCAGCCTCCTTCCTGATAAAACCTGGCTCCACAACAGAGTTATCATTCTAATTAAAACAACGCAAACATTTCACGTTTTACTTTTTTTTTCCTGCAGTGCTGTTTCTCTCGCCCCCCTTTCATTCACCAGAAAGAATACATTTATTATTCATCACAACACTGCATGACATTTTCTTTAGAGAGAAAAAACAGACGGCAAATAAAACTGGAGCAAATGGTGTTTAAGATGTAAAAGAATATACAAATAGATTGAGAGATAAGCGACACAAAAGACGATAGTTTCATAAATGGTCATGACATTAAAAAGGGAGTTATGATGAAAATGTCACACAGTGATGGGAAGAAGCACCACTGCTCCGAGGAAGGTTATGGAGAGAAGTTAGAATTCTTAAAAAAAAAAAAAAGCTCATTGCAAGCCTATACCGAATAAATGTTTGATTTTCAAAGGAGGATCCTTTTGTTGTGTAATAATTACAGATGAGATAGAGATAAGAAATATGACAGAACTGTTATTTAAATGGAAGCAAACCTCTCGACCAACTCAGGAGGTGAAATGAAGAAGTGATTGTGATGATGTTTTATTTTTATTAAAAGTCTCATTCTCAGGTTTTTGTCACTTCAACTTGTTTTAAAACTTTATTCACACAGTTTTGGTATATGAACAAAATAAAACCTAATTAATTTACAATGTTTCTTAATTTACTGTGTCTAAAAAGTCTTTAATGCCAAATGTTTCCTTTGCTTTTTTCAAATGGGTTTTATTAACAAAATCGGCTAACACCCCATAATATTCAAAAAGACTGATATAATGTGATTAGTAAGACTCACAGATGATCGTCTACGTTTTTCATTCAGCATTCATAAGTTTGATGCATTTACGTAAAGATCAAAGCCATGACAGCTCTCCAAAAAGAAGCCACATCATCTTGATTGCCCCCTGGTGGCTGGCAGCAGTACAGACATAAATGTATCATTAATATCAAGCACAACATGCATTTCAAATCGTTCCAACTGGTGGTTATTTTGTTCAGCTGCAGCTCCACAGTCACTACTGTGCAGACTCTGGCAGCTTACGTCACAAATATCCAGGATTGTTGGCTTAATTTTTTGTAAGATGGGGGGAGGTGGAGTTGTCCTCTTTATATACAGTCCATTGTTACTACTATCATACCAAAGGCATCTGATGTTTAGGGCTGTAATCTCAGCAGCATTATAATTCAACAGGCAACGTCTCTGACTCACGTGTGAAAGTCACTGCTCATAAGTTTGATCTGTTTTCACAGTGGGTTAGTTCTGTTTGTCTGTTCCCCGTGTAGAAACTAAATGAAACATAACCATAAAGACAAAGGCAACACATTTTAATTCTTTCTCATTACATCTCAGACATTAAACATCAAATCAGCTGCGATCAACCACAATATTTGGCATCGAGATGAATTCATGGAAATGGGAAATAACAAAATTAAATATCGCTTCAATAGCAAAAGATTTAATAAGTTTTCACACTGCTGTTGTCATGTTGTCATGACCTTCAGGCAATTATACATTTTGTCTAAACTAACCTATCATCAGTTACACAAATGGTCCAAGTAGCTGAAGCTGTATTATGTTTTTGTTATTGCATGCTCTTCCAATATGGAAAAATAAAAAAATATGCCTACCTGCTCTGTAATCAGATATCAACTGCACTGAGCCGTAGGATATTTCATGGTGTTTGCTGAAATGGCTTTTTTTGGTCAATATCCTTATGCTTCGAGGCAAAGAAGATCAATCAATATCAGTGTTAGCAGCCCGGGTGCATTGACCACATCCTCTGAGATGTCAGTGGCCTAAACTCAAACCAGAGCAGGCACCTAATACCATTACTATTACCACTATCCCTGCCCCTATACTCCCATCTTTGTACTGGCCTTCCCATTAGATTTTGTCTTATTATGTTAGCTTCACACACAGTTAAAGAGCCAACTATATGGCTTAACAGCAGCCTGATCTAAAAGCCCCATCAGCAATCAAACACTTGTAATTTCTGGGATGACAGGAGAAGCCTGAAACTCCAGGCTCCTTCTTTTTTCCCCTCCACACTCTCCCCCTCTCTGTATTTCTGACTGTGCTGCTTAAAAAATCTGCCACACATGCCAAAGTTAAAACTCTGTCACTTCAGCTCCCCCAGTCTCACTGAGTATTCTGCGAGGGAACCCCAGATGTTATAAATATCGCAGGTGTGTGGCACTAAGGAAAGTGGAATTTAGACAAATGGAGAAATAATTATTAGAGAAACAAAGATCACACATGATGTTGTCATTGGTAGTTGTGTGCAAATACAACTAATTTACTCTGTGAAAGGAATAAAGTAACAGTGCATCTGTACAGTGGAATTTAACGCCCATCAGTATGAGCCATGCACTGTATATAAAATATGGACAACATCACAACTCCCCAAAAGTGAAGCCAAATTTTTTTGTTGCCCTCTGGTGGCTAGCTAGAGTATAGGTAATAACCTTGCCTCCTCCATGTTAACGGACGGGACATGGACCTAACTAAAAAGTGAAATTATACATTAAATTTAATTTTTTTTCTCTCAAAGATGATTTCCATCATTTTAGGT